AGCTGTGAATTTTTTTTTTTTTTAAATCACCAAAGATGGAGGTGTCGAAAACATGTTGGTGCACTCGCCAATTTCAATTTCTTTTTATTTTTTTTTTTTTTATTATTTATATTTATTGTTGTATTTTATTTTTACTGCTACTTCGGTGCGGCATTGGGTTCTAATGCGAAGGTAAATATTGTTTATTTATTTTTTTGTATTAGTTTTTTTTTTTTTTTTTTTTTTTTGTGGGTTAGAGTTTGTGTATGGTGAATATGACAACCCAAGCACACACGTGCAAAATCGGTGACAGTAACAATCGATCAGCTCACCAGTTTGTGCAGTCACTATTTTGCAGTCGTCCTCTTCACTCAACAGTTGATTTGATGTGTTGTTCCATCAGCAGAGTCAGCACAGTTATTCAGTGGAAACGGGTTCCATCTCGCTTCATGGTTAACAGTCAAGCTGGACAAGCTGTGTTCAGACTAGGATTTTCTGAAACGAGTTTGGCCATCATTCTGACCAGATACATCCAGTCTAGTTCCACTGTGGACGTGTCCACAGATATTCCGATGTCTGACCCTGCTATCATCAGACTCCAGAGTGTTGCAGTAGACCAAAAGGCGATCTCCTCCTCCTCCTCCTCCTCCTCCTCTTTCTCTTACTCCACCTCCTCCGCCCTTTTGCTCTTCCTGTACCCTCCAGCTCCCTGTTTTTCTTTCTTTTTTCCCCTTCTCTCACCCATAATGATGATGCTAACATGGCACTGATGGTGACTATTGCGATTTTTTCTGGGGTGTACACTGTGCAAAAGACCACTGCCAATCGTTTCCACATCATTCCGACTCCTTACGGTCTACATCCCACTGCCAATTGTTTCCACATCGGTCCGATTTCCTTACGGTCTACACCCCACTGCCAATCGTTTCCACATCAGTCCGATTTCCTTACGGTCTATGTCGTTCGTGATCTTCCTGCTGCTCCTTCCGCTCCTCTTTGATTTTACTCCCAGAAAAGAAAGTGGCCACTCAAACTACTTGCCGAGATGTCATGACTAAGTGCTTGCCGAAACTCCATGACCTTTTCAAAATGACTCCAACCCTGGGCCTTTGTGTTTGGGGCGGTACTTGGGGCGGTACTCGGAGCGGTACTCGGAGTGGTTCTCGGAGTACTATTAGAGTATACAGTGGTGTGTCAGGCGCTCCGATTAAAATAGGAACAAACCAGTTTCCAAACCTCCACCTATAAGAGCAGGCATTACCATGAAGAGTAGGATAAGATAAGAATGAAAGATAAGATAAGAAGTAAGCACTGCATGAAGAATGTGAGGTCACTTTGATGACGCTGGATGTCACAAAATTCGAAATGATTTGTTTTTTCTCTCCTCCGAATCGTACGTGCACACGAGGTAAGGGAAAAGTGTTGAAGCAGAACCTTCTCTGGACCAGGTTTTCCTCTGGGTGTCAGAACCGATGGGTTGGGTCTGACTTCCTTCGCAGCAGACGCAGCACGACTGAATCTGTTGGGTCTCGCCGAGCCCTGAAAGGGCCCCGAGTGTGAAGTCCGCTCGTTACCTGAAAAGACAACGCACAATGGGGATGGGTTATTAGAACCCATTCCCTGAAGACCGGGGACAATGGGAATTATGGGTTATAGGAACCGCAAAGGCGACGGTAGGCAGCAGGGTCCGCTGGTTCCTCGTCCGCTGGTGGTGCTAGAGGGTCAGACACAGAAATGGAGGAATTGATCAGGTCCAAATTGGCCAAAAAATAAGAAGAAAAAGATTGATGACCTGCAACCCTTTTATTTTTTTTTATTTTTTATTTTTTTTCAACTCCAATCTATTGGTGACCTGCAACCTGTAGCACTCTTCCGTAAAGTATGTGAAAAGCAAAACTACGGAATGACCCACGGTGGGTCTAGAGCCAATTCAATTTGTAGTGTCTTATGGAGGAGCCATCAGGCTGAAGGGCACGCTGAAGGGCCTGGTTGCACTACACCCCATCCACCAAAATTCTGAATGCATCTGAACCGAAGTCCTGTCCAGGTGCGTTCAGAATGTTGGCGGATGATGAGTAGTGCAACTAGCCCCGAAGTTTACGCTTATGGCTCATCATAACATCTATCTGGTGGTGCCAATTGACAAGTGGTGCCCTTCCCCCCCAAAAAAAAAGAGAAGAAAAAGATGTGTTGTTGGATGTTCAAAGAAAGGAGCCTACATACACAAAAGAAAAAAAAGAAAAAAATCATGACGGTGTATGTTTCCATGTTCTAGCGAAAGATTCACTCTGACAATTCGAGAGTACATACACAGGAGAAAAATATTGTGACGCTGTGTCTTTCCCATGTTCTAGCGGAAGATTCAGGGCCTTGTAAGACACTCCTCGGGACGGGATTCCAAGTATTATCATGGACGTCCTGTAATGGCCTCGTCTGTTTACCCTTGGTGTTGGATGGCGGCAGGGCACGTCGTCATGTTTAACCGCCTCGTTTGGGGTCCGTGGCGTTCTGGTGGG